CACAACTCCTATCCCCATCTATGGGTGAAACACCTTCCAGATCAATGCAGGGAAAAAGGAAGAGTAAAGACTGGAACAAAACACCAAGGTGTGTGTGTGCAGATCACTGATCAGAATCCTTACTGGGTTGGTATAAGAAAAATCATGGCCTGTTGTCAAACGGGTTTGGGACACAATAGGCCAAAGTGTTCCTCAGAATTACATTAGGACAAGCAGTCTTTGAAGACGACTGTATTAACATTATTTTCCACTACAATTATCCTTTTAAATATAAATTTTATTGTGAATAGTTATAACTAAGATATCTATAACAGCTACAAAATGAATGTACCTTTTTAAAAACTTGGATTTTGTGCTTTTTTATTTCCTTTTCCCTTTTTCATTAATTTAAAAATATCTTCTAAAGTCTACTTAGACCCACCATGGAAGCTGAAAAGCTATAAAGGCATCTTTCTCGCTGGTCAATTTATTGATTTACTCAGATGCAATGAATAATTCAGAATTTTCAAAAAATGACTAATGATCATTTTAAATGACAAATGTTAACATTCAACCTCAGTGCTGGTAATGTTATCAAACCATACAATAAATAGACTTTTAAAACTTCAAAATACTGGATGATCACAACAAAAATGGGGTCACCTTAGACTTTTAAATAAAATCTGTTCAATTTTCCCTAACTTACATTACCACTTTTCTAAAGATGCCCTTGATCCTGAATCAAACAAACAAGTATAGATAAATACTACGAAGTCATAGTAGCCCAAAGAAATAATCTACACGGACATCAGTACCGGCAAGTCAGAAGGTAAAAAGCACCCATCACACACACACACACACACACAACAAACCCTCAAACCAGCCAGCTTCTGCTAGCACCCATCACACACACACACACACACACGACAAACCCTCAAACTAGCCAGCTTCTGCTAGCACCCATCACACACACACACACACACACACACACACACACACACACACCGCCCTCCGGCGGCACTCACCGCATGGTGTAGAGCAGGGTGCCGTCGTCTCTCACATCACACACACACACACACACACACACACACACACACACACACACCGCCCTCCGGCGGCACTCACCGCATGGTGTAGAGCAGGGTGCCGTCGTCTCTCACATACACACACACACACACACACACACACACACACACACACCGCCCTCCAGCGGCACTCACCGCATGGTGTAGAGCAGGGTGCCGTCGTCTCTCACACACACACACACACACACACACACACACACACACACACACACCGCCCTCCGGCGGCACTCACCGCATGGTGTAGAGCAGGGTGCCGTCGTCTCTCACATACACACACACACACACACAGCGCCCTCCGGCGGCACTCACCGCATGGTGTAGAGCAGGGTGCCGTCGTCTCTCACATACACACACACACACACACACACACACACACACACACACACACACCGCCCTCCGGCGGCACTCACCGCATGGTGTAGAGCAGGGTGCCGTCGTCTCTCACATACACACACACACACACACACACACACACACACACACACCGCCCTCCAGCGGCACTCACCGCATGGTGTAGAGCAGGGTGCCGTCGTCTCTCACACACACACACACACACACACACACACACACACACCGCCCTCCGGCGGCACTCACCGCATGGTGTAGAGCAGGGTGCCGTCATCTCTCACATACACACACACACACACACAGCGCCCTCCGGCGGCACTCACCGCATGGTGTAGAGCAGGGTGCCGTCGTCTCTCACATACACACACACACACACACACACACACACACACACACACACACCGCCCTCCGGCGGCACTCACCGCATGGTGTAGAGCAGGGTGCCGTCGTCTCTCACATACACACACACACACACACACACACACACACACACACACACCGCCCTCCGGCGGCACTCACCGCATGGTGTAGAGCAGGGTGCCGTCGTCTCTCACATACACACACACACACACACACACACACACACACACACACACACACCGCCCTCCGGCGGCACTCACCGCATGGTGTAGAGCAGGGTGCCGTCGTCTCTCACATACACACACACACACACACACACACACACACACACACACACACACACACCGCCCTCCGGCGGCACTCACCGCATGGTGTAGAGCAGGGTGCCGTCGTCTCTCACATACACACACACACACACACACACACACACACACACACCGCCCTCCGGCGGCACTCACCGCATGGTGTAGAGCAGGGTGCCGTCGTCTCTCTCACACACACACACACACACACACACACACACACACACACACACACACACACACACACACACCGCCCTCCGGCGGCACTCACCGCATGGTGTAGAGCAGGGTGCCGTCGTCTCTCACATACACACACACACACACACACACACACACACACACACACCGCCCTCCAGCGGCACTCACCGCATGGTGTAGAGCAGGGTGCCGTCGTCTCTCACACACACACACACACACACACACACACACACACACCGCCCTCCGGCGGCACTCACCGCATGGTGTAGAGCAGGGTGCCGTCATCTCTCACATACACACACACACACACACAGCGCCCTCCGGCGGCACTCACCGCATGGTGTAGAGCAGGGTGCCGTCGTCTCTCACATACACACACACACACACACACACACACACACACACACACACACCGCCCTCCGGCGGCACTCACCGCATGGTGTAGAGCAGGGTGCCGTCGTCTCTCACATACACACACACACACACACACACACACACACACACACACCGCCCTCCGGCGGCACTCACCGCATGGTGTAGAGCAGGGTGCCGTCGTCTCTCACATACACACACACACACACACACACACACACACACACACACACACCGCCCTCCGGCGGCACTCACCGCATGGTGTAGAGCAGGGTGCCGTCGTCTCTCACATACACACACACACACACACACACACACACACACACACCGCCCTCCGGCGGCACTCACCGCATGGTGTAGAGCAGGGTGCCGTCGTCTCTCACACACACACACACACACACACACACACACACACACACACACACACACACACACACACACCGCCCTCCGGCGGCACTCACCGCATGGTGTAGAGCAGGGTGCCGTCGTCTCTCACATACACACACACACACACACACACACACACACACACACCGCCCTCCGGCGGCACTCACCGCATGGTGTAGAGCAGGGTGCCGTCGTCTCTCACACACACACACACACACACACACACACACACACACACACACACACCGCCCTCCGGCGGCACTCACCGCATGGTGTAGAGCAGGGTGCCGTCGTCTCTCACACACACACACACACACACACACACACACACACACACACACACACCGCCCTCCGGCGGCACTCACCGCATGGTGTAGAGCAGGGTGCCGTCGTCTCTCACATACACACACACACACACACACACACACACACACACACACACACACTGCCCTCCGGCGGCACTCACCGAATGGTGTAGAGCAGGGTGCCGTCGTCTCTCACACACACACACACACACACACACACACACACACACACACACACACTGCCCTCCGGCGGCACTCACCGCATGGTGTAGAGCAGAGTGCCGTCGTCTCTCACACACACACACACACACACACACACACACACACACACACACACACCGCCCTCCGGCGGCACTCACCGCATGGTGTAGAGCAGGGTGCCGTCGTCTCACACACACACACACACACACACACACACACACACACACACACCGCCCTCCGGCGGCACTCACCGCATGGTGTAGAGCAGGGTGCCGTCGTCTCTCACATACACACACACACACACACACACACACACACACACACACACACACACTGCCCTCCGGCGGCACTCACCGCATGGTGTAGAGCAGGGTGCCGTCGTCTCTCACACACACACACACACACACACACACACACACACACACACACACACCGCCCTCCGGCGGCACTCACCGCATGGTGTAGAGCAGGGTGCCGTCGTCTCTCACATACACACACACACACACACACACACACACACACCGCCCTCCGGCGGCACTCACCGCATGGTGTAGAGCAGGGTGCCGTCGTCTCTCACATACACACACACACACACACACACACACACACACACACACACACACTGCCCTCCGGCGGCACTCACCGAATGGTGTAGAGCAGGGTGCCGTCGTCTCTCACACACACACACACACACACACACACACACACACACACACACACACTGCCCTCCGGCGGCACTCACCGCATGGTGTAGAGCAGAGTGCCGTCGTCTCACACACACACACACACACACACACACCCTCACACTAGCCCGCTTCTGCGCGGCAGCGCCGCCGGCGGCACTCACCGCATGGTGTAGAGCAGGGTGCCGTCGTCTCTCACATACACACACACACACACACACACACACACACACACACACACACACCGCCCTCCGGCGGCACTCACCGCATGGTGTAGAGCAGGGTGCCGTCGTCTCTCACACACACACACACACACACACACACACACACACACACACACACACTGCCCTCCGGCGGCACTCACCGCATGGTGTAGAGCAGAGTGCCGTCGTCTCACACACACACACACACACACACACACACACCCTCACACTAGCCCGCTTCTGCGCGGCAGCGCCGCCGGCGGCACTCACCGCATGGTGTAGAGCAGGGTGCCGTCGTCTCTCACATACACACACACACACACACACACACACACACACACACACACACACCGCCCTCCGGCGGCACTCACCGCATGGTGTAGAGCAGGGTGCCGTCGTCTCTCACACACACACACACACACACACACACACACACACACACACACACACACCGCCCTCCGGCGGCACTCACCGCATGGTGTAGAGCAGAGTGCCGTCGTCTCACACACACACACACACACACACACACCCTCACACTAGCCCGCTTCTGCGCGGCAGCGCCGCCGGCGGCACTCACCGCATGGTGTAGAGCAGAGTGCCATCGTCCTCCAGGCGCAGCAGCTTGTTGGGTGTGGTCATGTTGTGGGCGATGGACTTCTTCCCGTTGTGGAAGAACGTGTCTGGAGTCCAGATTTTGCTGGCGAGGAGATTGTTGAGAGGAAGGCGCTGCATGGGCCCTTTAAACCGAAGCCTCTCGTCTTTCCAGCTTTGTCGGAAAAACACGTCGATGGTGTATTCCTAGCCCAAAGGGAGGCAACCAAGGGACCATCAGCAGGGGCAGCCCTGGGCCGGCACGGGCAGGGTTTACAGTGGTCCGGACCGGGCCGCAAGCGAACTCACCATTTCGGTGTCGGACACGGGGCCGAAGCTGGTGACGTAGATGTCCGTTCTCACCTGAGTGATACGCTCTGAAACACAGATACAGGTTCCTCGCCAGGGCCTCAGCTCACAGTTCAGGGGGACATAAGTCAGGGTGCAGTAAATGGGGTCAGGGCGCCTACGTGGACTGTTCTTGTCAAAAAGGAGAGAGGGTCAACTCATGGTTTAAGCAAATGTCCCTGATGAAAATGCAAATAATGAAGAAGGACTAAACACTTTCCTCTGGGGGTGGATTTGTTAGGGGGCCCTCCTCACCTAACGGAGCAGGTTCAGATGTACAGATGCAAAGCTGGTGGAGCCAAGGGCCCTGCACATGCCTGAAACGCACGGGATTCTCAGCACACAGTCAAGCCAGCTGCACCCTGACAGCATATTTTACTACTCATTTACTTTCATCAGCTTTACAGGGTCAAAGTAAAAACTAATTACGGTTCTAGTGAAAAATTAAACCTGTAATATGCAACGTGTAAAGAACACTTGCACTAAAAGTGGTTTTCTGAAAAGGACTTGCAGAGACAGGAGGGTATGAGGTTGATGATAAAGTATTTCCTAACATAGGGCAACTTCAGCTTCAGTATCACCTAAGAAGTGGTTTCTCCTTAAGTGGACCGGAATGGATATTACCGTTATCTGGGGAGAAAAAGTAGTTTTCAGGGAGACCACTTCCCCTGGCTTCTTGCATCTGGAAAATGACAACGTGCAGCAGCCTTGGCAACACCACCAATTCAAACTCCTAGCAGGGAAGCCCTTTGAGGAATTGTTTGAATCATGGCAAACGTAAGCTTGAGATTGGGTTTAAGCAAAAATGTGCCTTGGGCCTCGAAAGCCTCGGCGAGGGCCCACACCCACCTCCGAGCCCGGGCCTCAGTCTGTTGTCGTAACCATCCAACAGCCCATCCAGGATCCTGGTGAATATCGTGATGTTGTCATCAGTCTCCGCTTTTACAGAGCTGGTTGGCATTTGTGAAAAGCTTTTTAACAGAGAAACAAAAGAAGGAGTTCAGACTTTGTTAATTGTTTCTTACAATTTGTTCTCAAAGTATAGAAACGGGGAATGATATGTTGACTTGTCTTGGAGGGAGGACATCTAAGAATGATCTCCTGTACCATCCAGGCTGTTTTGCTTACATAATCCTTATTCTTGAATATCTTAAAAGTGAAAGTGAAGTCGCTCAGTTGTGTCCGACTCTGCGACCCCATGGACTGTAGCCCGCTCCTCAGTCCATGGAATTTTTCAGGCAAGAATACTGGAGTGGGTTGCCATTTGCTTCTCCATTGAATATCTTAAACAGCCCTAATTCTTGAATAGCCAGTCTGAGAATGCTGGCTCTGGGCTGGTCACCCATCAAATCAAACTTCATGCCTCCCAGACTCTGAAGAACTCTTTGAGTTGATGGTGCAGCCATTTTTAAGGCATATTAGTCACTGCACATGGACTGGCAGCACCTCACCCACTTGTGGGACGTTTCAGCAGTTTGGTTCAAATACAGAGAACTGAGCCTTCATTTTGTTAGTTACTCCACTGCAATGGGCTATGGGGCACCGGGGGACATTAAAGCTTCTGTCTAATTTGAAAGTAACATTGCTGGGCCCACATTTTCCTGCATCCTTGACTGGGACCACTTGTACTGTGAGCATTATGCCGGCGCGGTTCACTGGTGGGGGGCGGTGGGGGGCTTCCGCACCGTCAGCTCTGCCGGCTGCTGGCACAATCCTCTCAGTCAGAGCAGAAGCTCTGAACCCAGGCTGAAAACCCTGACTTTACGTGATGTGGCCCCAGAGCAGAGACTCTGGGAGCACAGTGTTCTGTGACCAACATGTCAACTTACAATAAAACCCCAAGTTTTATTGAGTGGGTGGAACCTTGCAGGAGGTTCACAGGAAGAACGGTCTAATTTGTACAATTCAGCAACAAACTTATTCAGGCCTCAAAAGTCTATGTCAAAAAAACATGTATGCCAATGGAGCAGGTGGAGATGAGAACCGGCCCTGAGCAGATGTGGGCAAGCTGAAGAAGTTATCAGCAGGGAAAGAAAGCCACAGTCTAGAAGATGACTGAACACCTGAACATCAAGGGTTCCACCTCAGAAGTCCATCCATTGCTACCTGTTCAGACGTGTAGATAGCAAGATGTGTGTTATCACCAAGAACCTGACCTGCCATCTGGCTCAGCTTCAAGGGGAACTCATCCTGCTGACAGCCGGCTGTGGCTCCATGAAGTCAGCACCCCTGGTACTTGGGAGGAGGACAGGGGGCTCTGGGGCCCCTCTGGTGTCACTGTGAGGCCCGACTCTGCTCACATGCGTTCTCTTCTGAAGTAGCTGCAGTGAAAGCTGAACCTCGCCATCAGCAGGAGGTTCTCAGGCAGCACACATGTGTGCTGCCCCACCCGCTTCTTGAAAATTGGTCATTTTCACCGACTGCATCTAAACAGATCAATCCTCTAATGGCCTAAAGTGTCTCCCTTTTGAATGAACGACTATAATGTTCTTTGGATCTAATTTTCTCATCACCATTAAAATGCATATAGTTGAAGCTCTAACAACCTAAAATCCAGTCCTGTTAGACTGAATTATGTACCTTTGGAGCCCACAGACACATTTTTTTTTCCTTTACTCTGTGACTTAGTATTTAAAAATACTGAATTCCCTTTTCTCTGACATCCATTGTAGTTTCACACAGAAAGACAAAGCACTCAGCCTTGAAAATCTAATGTCAAAATGAAGGGCCTTAACACTGTCCTCCAAATTTATGAAAGAAAGTTTGTGCATGGGCCCAGCTGAGCAACAACAGAGCAACTATTGCTCAAACTAACTCTGGCCTTAACATCCACTTCGTGTGAAGCTCACAACAATCACCAGTTTGGTTACTCAATTCTCGGTTTTGTCCAGGTGTCCAATTTTTGGAAGGTTCCTGTTGGTTCTTTAACTTAGAAGAGAGGTGACAGCATGCAAACTAGCGGAAAAAAGCTATCACTTGTATGTGAAATCTAAGAAAGCCAACTCGTAGACACAGACAGTAACCAGGGGCTGGGCTGATGGAATTCGGGAGATGTTGGTTAAGGTTACAAACCTGCAACTAGAAAAAAAATAATTTGGGGGAATCTAATGCACAGCAAAGTAATTCTAGTTAATATTATGTTATAAACTTCAAAGTTAATAAGAGGCTAGCTCGTTTCCATCACAAAAAGGTAATGACTTAATAATTATGTGACATGACAAACGTGTCAGCTACTGCTAAGATGGTAATCACACTGCAATATATAAATGTATCAAATCAACATGCTACATACCTCAATTTACACAATGCTACATATCAATTCTATCTTAATAAAGAATATAAAAGTCACAATAAAAAAAAAGAAAAAGCATACCTTAATGTTTCAAGTACATTTTAAGAACTGTTGCATTATCTGTTGTGAAAATATCCTTAAATTATATTTGCTCTGAATAGCCTTGACTGTCAGGAGACAGAGACCATGGGGATGGCCACAGACCACTTAGTCCCATCATGTCTCCAGGAGCACTGCCTCCTAGACACCCTTGCAGGAATTTCAGTATTTGCCCCCTTTTGCTATAACTGTTTCTTGCATATACCTGTGGACTTTAAAAAAAAAAAAAAAAAAAGGTGCCACGGCTGGAGATTTGCCATGATTTCTTCTCTGTATTTACTGAAGGTAGGGCCTAGGATGTCACAAATAGTTTCTTTAGAAGTCCTTAAAAATGCCCATCAGGGCAGGAGTAGAGGTTCCGCTCATGAACAACTGGAAAGTCCTTCTCAGTCCATAGATCCTTCTCAGAAACCATTCCTTTGTAACTCGTGGTTACAAAACGCACCGTCTTCACAGCTATGGAGAGGAAGGCCTCCCCTTACGACTGAAAGCAAATGGTTTGCCAGCATACAGGAGACTCTCAGAGTGGCCTGGTGAACTTTCTCATGCATATCAAGTTGTATAATTTTTACAGACTGCTCCTGATATACAGAGTGACTTCAGCTTGCTTTGTTCCATTTGGGCTAGGAAAACAAAACAGCACACAAATACAGGGATGTGCCTTCAGCGAGCAGTTCCATTCAGTGAGCGAATCCACAAGGCCTCCAGGTGGAAACACAAGACACCCTCAGCCCTCTGGGGTACAGAAAGCAGGCTTCAGCTTGCGTCTTCACGGTTCTGGGTAAAACCAAAGAGCTCTGCCGGCCCTCAGGTCAGCTGTGAGTGCACCACCACTCCTAAGGTAAGCTGAAGGCTCTGTTCTTGTGGGATGCAGATTCTGTGAACTAAGTAAGACTAGCTCCATCATTTTTGACAATTTTATATAAAGTAGAAATCCTTGAAAAATGTGATGATTTTCCCTTCAATATCACGATTAATAAACTAGGTTGTCTGAAAATTTGAACTATTTTCTTAGAGTTAGTGCATGTTTTCTACAAATAATGACACTACAAATAATGTCCATGAAACAGCTGCAACATTTTCATATTACTGATGTTTCAGAAAAGGGACAATAAAGGAAATACAGATCCAACCAATCATGTTAAAACATCCTCATTTTTTACATCTTCTATACAAAAGGCACGTGGACTTGATCCCTAAGCTTGAACGCTGAGCCCCACGTTCCAGGCTGAGGAGGGAAGGTGATGGTTGGGACATGGGCAGGGACACAAGTGGGACCCAATGCTCAGGTGGTGGAAGGACTTCCTCAGACGCCATGACTGGCCCCTGCCAGGCTTAAAGGTCTGGGTCTTTCAGGAACTTCTGACGAGGTGGAGTAGGGAACAGGCAGCCATAAATGTGGTCCACTAATGGTTTATTTCACAAGCAGAGTTTTCAGAACAAAAACATGCATGACTTTAGAAAGACTCAACTCCAGTAATTGTGCAAACTTCCCTCCTGCCCCTGTGGTCTTACCTCTGGTGTCTTCAGAGCATTTGAACCTGTGACTTTTGCATTAGCTTCTTCCGGATTTCTAGACCCTAGAGCCTCGGCCTTAACTGACCCAGGAGGAACAGGCACTGGTATTTTTTAAGGTCCCCAAATGATCTTCATGTGAAGTCAGAGGGGAGAGGGACTGTTCTAAGAGGGACCTAGATAGCTAAGTTGGAAACAGGCTGCTCTGTGAACCAGCTGCCAAAGTGACTCCAAATGACCCCAGAGAGCACCTGTCTCCATCACATCTTCACAGAGGTTCACTGTCCCAGCATCTCAGCTCAGCAAAGGCATTGTGGGTGGCGACCGTGTGCCTGGCATTGTGGCGGGAACTGTGACGATGACAAAGGTGGCATTCCTAACCTTGGGGTCTATAAGAATGGGCCATGTTCCCAGAGGATTCCTGAAGAACATGATTGCTTCAGGAGTCTTATATGCAGGGCATCCTAGGACCCGAAAGTAGAGAGATCAAGCTTTGTATGAGGTCAGAAGAAACGAAAGCAGACCTGAACCTTCAAGCATGAAGATCAGGTCTCAAGCCAAAGGAAGGGGTCTGTGAGTAGTGGCACTAAGAAAAAAAATTGGTAGATTGGGATTGATATATACACATTATTATATATAAAACAGATAACTAATAAGGACCTACTGTATAGCAAGGGAAATTCTATTCAATATTCTGTGATGACCTATATGAGAGAAGAATCTATAAAAGAGTAGATATAAGTATATGTGTAACTGATTCACTTTGCTATACAGCAGAAACTAACACAACATTCTAAATCGACTATACTCCAAAAAAATTAAAAAAAAAAAAGAAAAGAAAAATATTGACATTTGCAGTGGGCATGTAAGAACCCTAGTGAGAAGAGCCCTGTGTGGGGGTCAAATCACAGCATATTCAGGTGACAAGCTCCACCTCCAGGATCTAGCCTCTCAACAGGGGCACTGTCTTTCCTTGTAGCCTCAGGCACCTCGGGGATGATGGGCTTATCAGAGGCAAGACTGGAGGTGGAGAGGCCAGAGCTCAGGACGTGCAAGGCTGCAGAA